CGTCCCCGCTTCAGCAGCCCCGGCATCGAAAGAAGAAGACCAGGACGGGGTTGCCTTACGTGCCTTCGGAGGACCGTCCTGACGGATCCAAAGTCTACGGGTTTCACCGGAAGCACCTGTACGGAGTGATGGGCATCCTTATCTCTGCGGGGATCACCCAGAAGCGTAGGCTGACGGACCACTGGGGAGTAGGGGATCACGACAACTACCCTCTTGTCCGAAAGTGCATGCCTCGCGACCTCTTCACGCTCTTCTACTGCCGGTTCTTCCACATGGCTCCAGTCATCGAGGCTCTGTCCACGACGCATCCAGAGCACGATGCCAAGCATCACATCAGGTACACGTGTTGTCCTGTGGCATGTTTTGTACGCCTCCGTGCAAGGGAGGGTGGCGAGGGCTCGGTCGGCAACCCTCCGGCGTTGTAGGCGGGCGGGGGAAGCCCGTAGACTTAAAGGCTTGCCGTAGTTTCTTCTCCTTGGTTTTTCAACATGTTTCTTCGTCCGAAGTGGTTGATTCAGCGCCAGCGATAGGCAAGACCCCATCGGGGGGCGGTTTGGTGTCGCAGGGCGCGTCCGTATCATATTGTGTGAGTAGATTGTTTATGGCCTTGAGTGTACGCAGCTTTTGTAACCACAGGCAGGCTCCCATGGATGTTTCGAGAAATAAAAGCAAACGCAACGCACATCTTGCCTTATCCCAGGGGCTTCGTCACGTTCACATGCGTTCTACGTTCGTTGCCTCTCCCGCTTTGTCATTGTCGTCCATCACGTCCTGCAGAGCATTCGAAGACGCACTGAACACATGCTGGAGCTCTCTTGTGGAGCTTGGAGGGTGGGTGTCGTATGACGAGCAGATGGTGAAGGGCACGGCGAGAGCTATGCACGGGCTGATGAGATTTAACCCTCAGAAGCCCATCAAACACGGTAAGTTGAAATGTCTCTACGGTGAGTCTAGGAGAGGCCACCGCTCCCCGCTCCGAATCAAACACACGTTCGTACTTGTAGCGAAACCCATTCAACTTTTCTGGCAACCTCATCGTCGTGCTTTTTTTCTCTCTCTCTTCTGGTAGCATGTTGGTGCTGTCTGATAAGTGGTGTAAAACGTCGTGCCTCGGGGCGTTCTTCACATATTTCCCATGAAAAATTGGTGCGCTTCACGTATAGTTGCCGCTACAAGCATGGGTTTGTTTACAACTGCACATAAAATTCGTTTGATTACCTGTCGCGCGAAGACAACAGTGACATGCCTTTACCGCTTGCGCTGTTCGCTTATTTCGCATATTTGCCGGCGACGCTTGCGCAGGGATTAAGAGGTTTGCATGCTGGTGCTGGACTGGCTACTGCTACCTCCAGAGCATTGATGGCGGGTTCTACGGCGACATGGGGCTCAGGCCTCACGACAAGTGCCCCCTTGGCCGTACGGCGCGCACCGTTCTGCATGTCCTCCTCGAGGCCTGCGAGGTGTTTAGCAACAAGATCAACAACTCCGGAGTCACCGTCGCCATGGACAACTATTTTACCAGTGCTGGGCTGCTGCTGTCGCTAGCTTCCCGCGACATTTTTGCCGTGGGTACGCTGCGCGGCAAGCGCTCGGGTTTGGACGGCGCGATGGAGCTCTGGCAGAACAACGAGGAATCCACCAAGGAGAAGGGAGACATGATCTTCGCCCGCAGCAACGACATCGTCATCATCGAGTGGGTGGACTCCAAGACAGTACATCTCATGTCAACCAAGCACGTCTTCGAGGAGGATTGGAACCCGCTTCTGTACACGTGAGTAGACTCGTAAGCATGATGCGTGCGTGAAGTTGTGGATTTCGTCGGGTTCTTTGTTGCGTTGCTGCTCTGCGCATGAACGGCGTGGAAAAGTCGGTGCCGCCGGTGATTGCGTTCGTTTTTTTTTTTTAGATCAGTCAGTGTCGCGTTCCACCTCTCTGCGTGCACGGCGTGGAAAAATCACCGTCGATTGCGTTCGGGATTGTTTTTTTATGAGACAAGTGTGGCGTTGCTGTTCTGTGCGTGTACGGCGTGGAAAAGTCGATGTCACCGGCGATTGCGGTCGGTGATCTTGGATACGATCGCACCCGGGGCTTCCATTC